CATGGCGTCAACGTTGTGAAAAATGTGTACGGCTGCAGGGAGATTACGTTGAAAAGTGACAGAAGTTTCAAATTTTTTGTATGATTATTGTGTGAGAAAAAAAATCGGAGACCTTAGAACTTGAACGCACAACATACTTTTTATATTTCAGTAATTTTGCATACCAGTTTTACATCCTAATAGGACATATAATTATGACCTTCTTGGTGTAAGTCAAGACACTGATAAACATCACTTAAAACCCATAAGACAGAATTTTTGTATATATGCTTTTTTGTGCTTTGAGTGTTGATTTTATGTGATGTGGATATGAGAAGTGTAGTTGATACCCATCACAGAATGTGAGCTGCTTCATATAGATCATCAAGGCATCTCGAAGAAAATTTTAGCAAAATTATGTCCTGTAAACATAACAAGCCAAAATTACTGACATGTTTTAAGTGTATCTTAATTATACATCATATTAAAAAGTGTGTACGTAGTCGTGTAACTGGCTGAAAAGTATGGTCATCAATCAGGATTTCTGTCTTCTGGAATGAAATGCCATATAGTCTATTAAATGTGAACTGATATTTCAGAGAAACATAATGCCCTAATCTTCAGGGTTGAAGATGCAAGAACACCATAAACCCATTATGTCCAAGGGGATATAACTTATTATAGCCACTGCTATGAGAATCTCAAGTCCAGTGTCATAAGGCAATCAATGTATGCACTATATATGTCTGTCGATTTCGAGACACATTTGTATTACTCAGTCTTGTAGTGTATACAAGTGTTGAAAAAGAGCTCCGTGGCTGTCTGCAAGTGAACTATACCGACCAAGAAACCGCCACTTGTTGGCTAAATTAGTGTAAACTTTAGTGGATAGAGGGTGGTCAGTGCAATGAATCCCCACTGCCATTAATTTTGGTTTTTATAGATCAGAGCCACTATTTCCTTGAAATAGCTCCTCAGTTATCCTTAGGAGGCTGAGTGGACCCCCTTCCGGACCCAAATGTTGAAGGACTGAATAATGTAGTGTATACACAGATATTGGGTTTTTGGACTTTATCCATCATCTTGGTTTTTAAGCTAACTAAGAAAAACACGGCGTTTCGGAAACTGGATCTGTTTCCATCCTCACGTGAGGGAAAACACCTATTCTGTTGGGTCCCTTAGAAAGAGCTAGCCTCAATCACTGGACAACTGATGTCACAAAAAACAGAGGTTATAAATACCTGAGACCAGGCTAAGTCCATGAGAGCAAATAAGAAAAATATGTATAACAAATTGTTCCAAACACATACAAGTGCGGAACCAGGATAGATAGAGCCGTAGAAATTTATGTCACGAAACCAAACTAATAACCAGGTCCATGACCCCACGGCATGGAATAGAAAGGAGAAATGGTAAAAAAAACTAATAGTGTCTAACTAGCATCAACAATGGAGTAAATCACATCTCTCTAATTTAGAACCTAATAGAAATCAATAAAAACATATATACGTCATACAGATCTTCTATGTGAATTGGTGACTTCATTGCTGATAATGGGGATCCAAATGGGAGAAAAGTCCAAACTGGGTTGGCTAATTGGGTTGGCCGAGCATGCCATATGGGCCGCTTCCTTGTATTTCCTATACCTGATGTGGCTTTCAGTATCCAAAATCTTAGCTTCATCCCAGCCTACCCTATGTCCCTCTTCATAGGCTTGTTGAGCTAGTTTAGATTTTTCTAGAAGACCTTCTTTGAGGTTATGCGTATGTTCCTGGAGCCGCACGGCCAGAGGTGTGCCTGTTTCGCCAATATAGCTTCTGCCACATTCACAGGGAATGCTATAGATGCACTGTACCGTTTGTTGCGGATCTCTTTTTGGTCTGGTTTTCATAAGAGAGTTCCTAAGAGTGTGTTTTGTACGGAAGATGGTCCTAATATTATATCGATTACCTATCCGTTTAAACTTTTCAGAAACACCCTTTACATATGGAATATATTCAGAACACAGAGGGTTTTCCTCTTTCTTCGGACAACTACTGCCCTTGGAATTAATGACTGAGTCAATGATACCTTTGGGATAACTGTTCAACTGAAGATCGTATCTCAGGTTGTTAATTTCTTTGACCAAATCTCATTGATCTTGGCATATGGTGGAGGCTCTCTCGTGGAAACTTTTAATCAGGTCTCTTTTTACATGTGGTGGTTGGTTAGAATTGAACTTGAGGTATTGGCCAGTGTGGGTGGGTTTCGTATTGACTTGTGTGACAAGTCCCATCTCTTCCCTGATGACCAGAACGTCCAGAAAAGAGATCACATTGTCTGACTCAGTTTCCATAGTGAAGCAGATGGAAGGCCTTAAACTGTTGAGGTGATCAAAGATATTCTGTAATCTCTCTGGACTATGAGGCCAGACTACAAAAGTGTCATCCATGTAGCGCAGCCACAACGATGTTTTGTACAGTGCTGAGTCAAGAGCTAGTTTTTCAAAATGCTCCATGAAGATGTTGCTAACGATGGGCGAGAGAGAATTTCCCATAGCCATGCCATCTTTCTGTTGGAAGAACTTGTCATCGACCTGAAAATAGTTGGTTCTCAAACAGGCTTCCAGCAGCTCCATGATGGCTTCGACCTGCAAGACAGACCCTTCCATCAGTGTGACATCATTGTGGAGCTTGTTTTCGACGATTTGTAGGACTTCGTCGACTGGTACATTGGTGAAGAGACTGATGTCAAAGCTAATGAGAGTATCTTGAGAATGAAGGTTAACAGTCTTTAATAACTGTACGAAGTGGGCCGAATTCTTAACGAAAGAGTCAGATTTACCAGCAAAAGGACTGAGTATCCTATGGAGAAAGCCGGCCAGTGCATAGCAAGGAGAACCAATCGAACTTATTATAGCACTCAGAGTAATACCCGCTTTGTGAATTTTGGGAAGACCACACAGATGGGGAGGTTTGCTGTGGTATGGAGTCAGCTTGTGTTTTAGATCAGTCGGAAGAGTGGTTTTGTATTTAGAAAGGAGTATCTGTACTTTCCTCTCCACCTTACATGTAGGGACTTTGGGCAAGGTTTCGTAAACCCTGGACTCTAGCAACGTGTTTAACTTATCCTTGTATTTGGATTCGTCCAAAACCACTGTGCAGTTGCCTTTGTCTGCTCGAAGAATCCTAATTTCCTTGTTAAGATTTCACGGCTTTCAGTTCCTTCGTGGTCATGTTAGGTCTGGAAGACTTAAACTTCTCTAGCATGGATCTAATTTTCCACCTGAATTCCATGCCCTTAGTCTGTGGAAGCTTCAAAACAACAGAGTCCACCGCACATGCCATATCCAAGTTCGAGTGTGTACATGTTACTGAAAAATTCAAACCCTTCATAAGGACTGTTTCCACAGAGTCCTACAAATCGTCGAAAACAAGCTCCACGATGATGTCACACTGATGGAAGGGTCTGTCTTGAAGGTTGAAGCCATCATGGAGCTGCTAGAAGTCTGTTTGAGAACCACCTATTTTCAGGTCGACGACAAGTTCTTCCAACAGAAAGATGGCATGGCTATGGGAAATTCTCTCTCGCCCATCGTTAGCAACATCTTCATGGAGCATTATGAAAAACTACCTCTTGACTCAGCACCGTACAAACCATCGTTGTGGCTGCGATACGTGGATGACACTTTTGTAGTCTGGCATCATGGTCCAGAGAGATTACAGACCACCTCAACAGTTTAAGGCCTTCCATCTGCTTCACTATGGAAACTGAGTCAGACAATGTGATCTCTTTTTTGGACGTTCTGGTCATCAGGGAAGAGACGGCACTAGTCACACAGGTCTATAGGAAACCCACCCACACTGGCAAATACCTCAATTTCAATTCTAACCATCCGCCACATGTAAAAAGAGGCTTGATTAAAAGTCTCCACGGCAGAGCCTCCACCATATGCCAAGATCACCGAGATTTGGTCAAAGAAATTAACAACCTGAGACACGATCTTCAGTTGAACAGTTATCCCAAAAGCTTCATTGACTCTGTCATTAATTCCAAGGGCAGTAGTCGTCCGAAGAAAGAGGAAAACCCTCTGTGTTCTGTATATATTCCATATGTGAAGGGTGTTTCTGAAAAGTTTAAATGGATAGGTAATTGATGTAATATTAGGACCATCTTCCATACGAAACATACTCATAGGAACTCTCTTATGAAAACCAGACCGAAAAAAGATCCGCAACAGACAGCACAGTGCATCTATAGCATTCCCTGTGAATGTGGCAGAAGCTACATTGGCGAAACAGGCAGACCTGTTGCCATGCGGCTCCGGGAACATAGGCATAACCTCAAAGAAGGTCTTCTAGAAAAATCTAAACTAGCTCAAAATGCCTATGAAGAGGGACGTAGGGTAGGCTGGGATGAAGCTAAGATTTTGGATATTGAAAGCCACATCAGGTATAGGAAATACAAGGAAGCGGCCCATATGGCATGCTCGGCCAACCCAATTAGCCAACCCAGTTTGGACTTTTCTCCCATTTGGGTCCCCATTATCAGCAATGAAGTCACCAATTCACATAGAAGATCTGTATGATGTGATATATGTTTTTATTGATTTCTATTAGGTTCTAAATTAGAGAGATGTGATTTACTCCATTCTTGATGCTAGTTAGACACTATTAGTTTTTTTACTATTTCGCCTTTCTATTCCATGCCGTGGGGTATTAGTTTGGTTTCGTGACATAAATTTCTATGGCTCTATCTATCCTAGTTCCACGCTTGTATGCGTTTGGAACAATTTGTTATATATATTTTTCTTATTAGCTCTCATGGACTTAGCCTGGTCTCAGGTGTTTACAACCTTTGTGTTTTGTGACAACAGTTGTCCAGTGATTGAGGCTAGCTCTTTCTAAGGGACCCAACAGAATAGGTGTTTTCTCTCACCTGAGGATGGAAACAGATCTAGTTTCTGAAATGTGTTTTTCTTAGTTATCTTAAAAACCAGGATGATGGATAAAGTCCAAAAACCCAATATCTCTGTGTGTTATACTCCATCGTCAGAATCCTATAGTAAGTAAATGTAGTGTATAGTTTCCCATCCAGGGATGCAATTGGGATGATGGGAATTATAGCAGAACAAAGTTTGGAGATAGATGAAGTACTGTGTGCTTGCTTTATAGACTGGCAGAAGGCATTTGACCGTGTAAATTGGACCAAATTAATGCAGATCCTAGAGGAAACAGGTATCGATTGGCGTGAAAGAAGATTGATTAGTAAATTGTACATGGATCAAAAAGTTATAGTGTGACTGGACAGAGGGGAGACAAGAAGTGAGAAGATTGGAAGAGGAGTTCGACTAGGATGCGGTTTTTCACCAATTTTGTTCAACTTGTACAGCGAATGCCTTACCAAAGAAGCTCTGGACGGGCTTGGAGACTTCAAATTAGGAGGGCAAATTATTCAAACTGAAATATGCAGATGACCTTGTGTTAATGGCTAAGGAAGAAACTGTGCTACAGGGTAT